CATCACAGAAATAAATTACAGTTTAACAGATATTCACATAGAAATTTGCTATTTTAAGTTGTAATAATATTTTAAAATTTTACAATTTTTACTGTATTTTTATCAAATAAATGCAGCCTTGGTGAGCAGAAGAGACTTATTTTAATCTCACCAACCCCAAACCTTTGAACAGTAGTACATAAAAACATTTTTAACCAGACTTTCAAATAAAAATAGTAATTATTCACCACTGACACAATCTATTTCACTAATGTCAACACGCACAGCCTCACCCGTGATATTCGTACATTTAGTCAGAGCGAGGGGGTTTAATCTGGTTTAGGCGCCTCGGAGGACCGGACTTCAGTCTGACAGCTTCTGATCGTGGTGGTGATTGTGCAAAACCTTTTCACCACATGAGTAAAGAGCAGCGAGGTGGGTGTGTGTGTGTGTGTGTGTGTGTGTGTGTGTGTGTGTGTATGTGCGTGTGTGTGTTTGTACACCATGAATTATTGAGTCTCTCAGAGGAAGTGCGAGGGAAGGGAACAGATAAAAATAAATAGCAGGCAGGTCTGTCTCTGCTGGTGCCTGAATGTTAAGTCGGCTTGATTCCGGCTGACAGCAGCCATCTTTAGATCACATTACTTTCACTCTTTAGCGGCTCTTCGGGTAAACTATCTTGATCTTGCAGTCAAAGGTTTTATTCGACTAGTTGAGCATGTCGAATGTGTTGCTGACTGCATCTTTACCAACAGTTATGATGCTTTGGGAATCAAGCGAGTGATGTCCAGTTAGCATTTTGGAAATAAAAATTTTAATTTTTTGCATTACAACCAAATAATGAGTCAACAATTTGCTATTTTGACCATAGGCAATGTTATAATCATTGTCTATGGTCGAAATAGCAAATTGTTGACAGTTAGTGTTGAGAAAAGTTATTTTTAAAAGTAATGCATTACAATATTGCTTTACTCCATAAAAAGTAACTAATTACGTTACTTAGTTACTTTTTATGGAAAGTAATGCGTTACGTTACTTTTGCGTTACTTTTTAAATCTGGACAGGGCTTGCTTGTTTGTTTTTAATATAAAAAAGTTATGTTTTTTGCAAATATAAAAGCCTTTCACACCAAAAGTGAAATGAATAAGCCTCAGGCTGAAGGGAAAGTACAGTAGAATGCAGAAGAAGACATTTCAACACACTTCAGCAATAAAATAAGACACACAAATGTTCATCTAGAGTAATTTGTGCTTATTAGTACGGTCGAACTGAATCATCGAAGCTCAGAAGCTAATAGAATGGGATTAAATACATAAAGCATATTTGTGTTGTTTAACATTTAATTATTGCAGGTTTGCATCATATCCTGAGTTGCATTATTTTTATGCATTTTGAGGAATACTGAATCTGTGTTTTTTGTGAGTGAGATGAATTAATGCATATTCATATTTATTTTAGAACTACAGTAACATCTGATTTCTCTCAACATGGGGACAGGAGAGCTGTCAGTCAATAAATTTGAAAAAATAAAGTGACTTGCGTTACTCATTTGAAAAAGTAACTCCGATATTCTCTTGTAAATTAAAAAGTAATGCGTTACTTTACTAGTTACTTGCAAAAAGTAATCTGATTATGTAACTCGCGTTACTTGTAACACTGCACAGCAACACAGTTATATGTCATTTTGATCAGTTTTGTTATTGTTAAGGAAAACAAAAATGTTTACGGTAACTGAATTAAAGCTGAAATGAAATAAAATAAAAACTATTAGATGTAAAACATAAAAAGCAAAAGTTATAAAAGTTGCTTTAGCAACTAACTGAAATAATTAAGTAAAAGTTTTAATTCTAAAATTACTAAAATTACAACTGAAATAAAAATAAATTGACTCCAAATAGAATTAAATTAAAATTAAATTAAAATGAAAACTGGAAATTCGTTTCTGACTGATTCAGCTGTTTAAACAAATCGAGTGAGTCAATGATTCAGTGACTCATTCATATAGACAGTCACTTGCTTCGTTTCTGACTGATTCAGCTGTTTAAACAAATCGAGTGAGTCAATGATTCAGTGACTCATTCATAAAGACCACCGCCACCTACTGGCACTTTTTCATTTCATTGACAAAAAATAATTTCATATTTTAATATTATTTTTTAATAAACCCATTAATATCCATTTATTATTATTATTGATGCAATGTTGAATCAAAACATTGTATTCTAAAGCTGATTTTATGTAATGTCTACCAATGCTTTTCTCATCTAACACAATAATAACTTTAAATTATCTTTTGGGGGGTAATTTCTCGGACCAAATTGATGTGTGATTAATTTGCGATTAGTTTGATTAATCAATCGGAACATTATTTAATTAATTTGATACATTTTAATCTCTTGACAGCCTTAATAATAAGTGATGATTAGCTGTTCCAAACCACTGTCAGACTAATCACATACAGTATAAACTCATGCGTCATGTGTCCACTGCAGTCCAGATCCATCAGACTGGTTTGCCTCATAAACAGCTTTTGGTTTTCTGCCTCAGGCGACACGTCCACCAACTGTTTGATGCGTATTGAATGTAAAAATGCCACAAAATCCACATGCTCCAACCTGATTGGCTGACTACTAGCATTTTATTCAAGGTCAGGTTTTTATCAGTCTAACGGGACACGATTTCAAAGTTAGCAGGTTGATACAATGAGCATTTGTGAGGAAGAAAAACTGTATTTGAATATGTTTGTGAGATTCATGGGATTTGGGTCTTTGAAAGACATTCTTAGTGGCAAGTTTGAAGGATTTCCTGCTAAGTTAGCAACACTTCAGCTGGTTATCCTCGAATACACCTGGATTTTCATTATATCTCATAAACTATTGATTAAAAGGGACAATTTTACACAATAATTGATTAGGGTCGCGTACCATTAGCTTAGATAAATGCTAGCATCAAACTATCTAAAAAAAAAAGATGTAAGTCTTAGTCAAAATTCTCATGCACTTTTGTGTTAAAGGATTCTTACGTAAACTTACATAAAAACTTGCGTGTTGAATCAAATTCATTTCAACCATTCATGTAAGAATGAGTGAGTGGGCCTTTGCACGACATTTTGTTTTCCAACTAAAAACTGAAAACATTTAATGCGGTTCATCCGTTCATTTAAACGACAACTGCGTTTTGAAACTTTTGAAAATGGGTTTCAAAGTGCAACTTTTTGAAAACAATAATGTTATCATCTCCAATACCATTATCCTCTGTTATCGTCTCTAATACCTTTATCATCTCCCGTTATCGTCTCCAATACCGTTATTGTCTCCGTTATCATCTCCAATATCGTTTACGTCTCTGTTATCGTCTCCAATACCTTTATAATTTCCATTATTGTCTCCAATACCTTTATTATCTTCCGTTATCGTCTCCAATACCATTATTGTCTCCGTTATCATCTCCAATACATTTATCATCTCCGTTATCGTCTCCAATACCGTTATTGTCTCCGTTATCGTCTCCAATACATTTATCATCTCCGTTATCGTCTCCAATACCGTTATTGTCTCAGTTATCGTCTCCAATACCATTAACGTCTATGTTATCGTCTCCAATACCGTTATCATCTCCGTTATCGTCTTCAATGCCGTTATCATCTGTTATCGTCTTCAATGCCGTTATCATCTCTGTTATCGTCTCCAATACCATTATCCTCTGTTATCGTCTCCAATGCTGTCAACGACTCCGTTATCGTCTCCAATACCGTTATTGTCTCTGTTACCGTCTCCAATACCGTTATCGTCTCCAATATCGTTATCATCTATGTTACCGTCTCCAATACCGTTATCGTCTCCGTTATTGTCTCCAATACAGTTATCGTCTCCGTTATCATTTCTAATACCGTTATCATCTCTGTTATCGTCTCCAATACCGTTGTAATCTCCGTTATCGTGTACAATACCGTTATCATCTCTGTTATCGTCTCCAATATATATATATACAGTATATATAAATATATATATATATATATATATATATATATATACTTTTAAGATTTGAAGTGTACTACAAGCGCACATTCAACACAATTAAGCACACTCCTTTTTCACAAGGGTGAATTTGCCCAAGTTTGCCAGGTTAGAGGCATCACATCTTGTAACACATGTACACTCAGAAGGTCATTATCACAGGATAAACACTGACAGATTGATCAGGATTTTTGCTCATTGCTGCTGTACTCTCTCTGCTCTCTTTCTTCTCACATAACAAAATCATTTAAACTCAAATCAATATTTCATGTCCCTATATTATTTGATCTGGTAAGTAGCCGTGTAATGAGCTTTGCACCATTTGTGAAAATAACCGTCTGACTGTACATCCATTACATATTCCTCTTTGTTTGAAATAATCAGTCCGGGATGCTGTGACCTCACAGTCCAAATACATTTTACATTAATTTCTGTGCAAACATCTGGAGAAACTGAGCAACCATTTTATTGAAAGGCAGTATGATAGAGTATGAATGATTTCAGAGCACAAAATGCAACTATGTAATCGCTCGGCTCTAATCTGCTAAACACGACTTGAAGACATTAAGATTTTCAAAGCTGCTCTGAAACAGTATTGTGTAAAGCGTTATACTAATGCATTTGACTTGACATTTATTGACTGATATTATAGTGATGTATGACAGATGCAGTACCTTGTTGAGGCTCCGAGCGGCGCTGTCCTTTCCCCCGGGGGTGAGATTCCTGAGCTGGATGTCCAGCAGGTCGATCAGGTGACCCATGGCCCGGACGGTGTAGGTGATGTCACCTGCGTGCATGTGACCCTTGGTCTGTTCGGAAAGCTCACGGGAGATTATGGCCGCAGGTTCACCCGCTCGGATCTACAACACACACACACACACACACACA